CAGATGAACTTGAAATTAAACCCACGGTAGTAGGAGGGGGTGGAGAAGTTTCTTCTGTGTGCATAATTCAGGCTTTTCTATCCAAATCGCTAAGGCTTCGGCAATACAAAGTATACGGAAGCTTGTCGATTTTGGAAGGCTTCTTTTGACTTTATAGATGACTTTGAATGACTTCTCCTTGCAAATCGAATGACCAGTGTTAAGTATATGCTCAATAATGGCGCTCCTTATTGCTCCATTGTTACCTTTCCGTAGCCAGGCGGGATAGTGTTCTTGAACTCTTTTAGATAAAACTCGCATCGAACGACCTATATACCTCGCTCCGCAAGAGCAGGTGAATTGGTAGATACACATGGAAGTGGTCAAATGCGATAGTTTATCTTTAGAGTAGTTGAAGAACAATGGCCGGGAGGAAAATGTCAGTCGTAGTGTGGCAGCGAAGAATGTCCTTCTTAGAGCAGTAGATATCCTCTTCTTCAAGGTGTCAGCCAGAAGGTCACCTTTGAAGGGTACATTCATGTAGACCATCTTCTTCTGCACTGTAGTGGGTTCTTCTTTGTAAGTCTTAGGCTTAATATGCTTGTCTATAAAACGGGGTGGGTAGCCATTCTCGAGCAGTGTCTTCCTTAAGAGGGCGATCTCTTCCTCTATTGATTCAGGACTGCAGATTCTTCGGATTCTAGTCGCCAGAGATATTATCAAGTTTCGCTTGCGACTAATTGGTACCCAACTGTAGAAGTTTGTCAACTGACCGTTCCATGTAGGTTTTCTGTGTACTGATCTGTTCAAGGTACCATCGGTCTTCTTACTTAAACGAACGTCCAGAAAGGAGATTGTCTCTTTGGTTTCTACTTCGATTGTAAATTTGATGGCGGGGTGGCAACTATTGAACACTTGAAGAACCATATTTTGATCACAATTGTTATCGCAGATGACGAAAGTATCATCAACATACCTTTTGTATAAGAAGAATTTGTCGATGGTTGCTTTCAGCGGACCATTTTCCAAACTTGCCATGAACATATCAGCCAACAATGGACCCAAAGGTGATCCCATCGCCACGCCATCTTGTTGTCTATAGAGGTTCCCATTGAATGTGAACTGGACATTTAGGGTACATCTGAGTAGGAGTTCTTTTAGCTTGGTGGTAGGTATTCCAATATTCAGGTTGTTTTCTTCCAAGTATGATTTCACTCGACGTCGAGTCTCTCTTTACAAACGTCCCTATCACTGAGACGATTTGTTTTCTATGCAAATACTTGGAAGAAAACAACCTGAATATTGGAATACCTACCACCAAGCTAAAAGAACTCCTACTCAGATGTACCCTAAATGTCCAGTTCACATTCAATGGGAACCTCTATAGACAACAAGATGGCGTGGCGATGGGATCACCTTTGGGTCCGTTGTTGGCTGATATTTTCATGGCAAGTTTGGAAAATGGTCCGCTGAAAGCAACCATCGACAAATTCTTCTTATACAAAAGGTATGTTGATGATACTTTCGTCATCTGCGATAACAATTGTGATCAAAATATGGTTCTTCAAGTGTTCAATAGTTGCCACCCCGCCATCAAATTTACAATCGAAGTAGAAACCAAAGAGACAATCTCCTTTCTGGACGTTCGTTTAAGTAAGAAGACCGATGGTACCTTGAACAGATCAGTACACAGAAAACCTACATGGAACGGTCAGTTGACAAACTTCTACAGTTGGGTACCAATTAGTCGCAAGCGAAACTTGATAATATCTCTGGCGACTAGAATCCGAAAAATCTGCAGTCCTGAATCAATAGAGGAAGAGATCGCCCTCTTAAGGAAGACACTGCTCGAGAATGGCTACCCACCCCGTTTTATAGACAAGCATATTAAGCCTAAGACTTACAAAGAACAACCCACTACAGTGCAGAAGAAGATGGTCTACATGAATGTACCCTTCAAAGGTGACCTTCTGGCTGACACCTTGAAGAAGAGGATATCTACTGCTCTAAGAAGGACATTCTTCGCTGCCACACTACGACTGACATTTTCCTCCCGGCCATTGTTCTTCAACTACTCTAAAGATAAACTATCGCATTTGACCACTTCCATGTGTATCTACCAATTCACCTGCTCTTGCGGAGCGAGGTATATAGGTCGTTCGATGCGAGTTTTATCTAAAAGAGTTCAAGAACACTATCCCGCCTGGCTACGGAAAGGTAACAATGGAGCAATAAGGAGCGCCATTATTGAGCATATACTTAACACTGGTCATTCGATTTGCAAGGAGAAGTCATTCAAAGTCATCTATAAAGTCAAAAGAAGCCTTCCAAAATCGACAAGCTTCCGTATACTTTGTATTGCCGAAGCCTTAGCGATTTGGATAGAAAAGCCTGAATTATGCACACAGAAGAAACTTCTCCACCCCCTCCTACTACCGTGGGTTTAATTTCAAGTTCATCTGTCATCAACATTTTGTTATCAAATTTTTTTGCAATATTCGTATAATAATTTTTAGTAACTAACCCATTCAATCTTTTCACCTATTATCTAGTTTATTTTCATAATTGTCTCCATACTCCTTCACGAACATCTAATCTTTCTAAACATGTCTATATTACGTAACCCTACTCACATCTTACCAATTTTCACCCCACTTAGTTACAACTTTGATTACTATTCACACAATTTAATTTCTTTATTATTTTGATGATGTAATCAACAACCCACACTAACTGTTATTTTGATTTTGACAAACCTTATGTACACACACACACAAAATTAATTGTATATATTTGCGACTGTACAGCTAAGAGAATGAATTCGCCGAAAAGAGACTCTTCGCTGAATCACTTGTTCTGATTCTCTATACGTCATAATGTGCATTTTCCATGAATTAATTGTTAATGTCCAGATATAGTTGATTTATAATTGTCAAAATATTCCTAAATGATGATTTATGTTTATCTATCGAGTGGCCATTTTCATCTGCGTAGCTTTCATTGCTTTTCAATAAAAAGCGTCTTGAAATTGAATAATTTTTCACGAGTCTTTCAACTACTTGTCAACAATGCTGCTTTGGAATAACTATGAATTTGCTTAAATAAAAACTTTCTCTTTATTTAAGTGATTTGCTGGTTTTAATTCAGAAATTCAGCTAATTTAAACAGAAAATATATAATCAATAAAAATTATAATCTAACGCAAATAACATCAAGAATATGATTGCTGACGACAATTCTGATCAGAGGAAATCGACTGCCATATCAAACATCTACGACAAACCAAAGGGATTCACTATCATAATGAAAGCGATAATATGATGTATAAGGCAATTTCATTGAATTATAGGTTAAGAAACGTATTCTTATCAGTTAGACAGTCAGGTTTCTCATAAAATCGGATGACTGTATCATATGCTGCATGAAACATGAGTAGTTAGCTGATCAGTGTAAACTCAAATATTATCCGTTTCTGCTTGGTATTACTGAATATTTAGTTAAGAGAGAGTTTTCTGAATCAAGTGTAGACAGTAAGTGTCTTATTTCCTCTAACCTTTGGTATTTTGTGTTCTTAATGAAGTCAGGCGTGAAGATGTCACCAGGCCTGGTGAGGGGAATTCCTGAGTTATAAGTCTTCATACGATCAAATATCAAACAATTCCTAACTTCATCCTGAGATATTTATTAATGATGATATTATTCCCCCGGTTTCCGAATGAAACACGAGGCTAAAAAACAGTACATTTCATCTTCATCCTGCTCTTTTCAATCCTCTTTAGCTGGTTGCATGATTGGCCATAAGTTCTGATTTCATCCCTGTATGGTCTTATCCATGTCATCCTCGCATACACGCCTAACTTTTCGTTTCTCTTCCAGGTTCTACTCGAAGGCCTGGTCTCTTAGGTGTGCATCCAATTCATCTTCACTTCCCTAGCTATATTTATCGGGCGATAGGTTCTTGGTTGGTTCATTTCCGGAATTCCTTGTTGCTAATCATTTCTGGCTGGCCATACTGTCTTCAATATTAAGCTAGAGAAGGCAGCTGTTGACGAAATTCTTCAGACTTTTCGAAATACCTTTGGGGACGAGTCAAGTTTCTGAGACATATAGAAGAGCTGACTTGACTTTAGTGTTGGAAATGTGAATTTTATTCTTTTTTATTTTTCATGTCGAGTGCAACAGACTTCTAAACTGATTTCAGATTATTGAAGGTCTGGCATACCTGTAGCTGGAATAATGCTGCTAAGATAAGTGTACGTAGTAATACCTAGATTTTATTTATTAAATTCTAAGGTCACTGGTATCTGGAAATTTATACGTAATATTTTGCCCTTTTCCTGAAAAATAATGAAGTGGACAGTTTTCATTTTGCATTCAACAAACCTAGTTGGATAAACGCTTTATCTTCGCAATAAATATGCTTTTTAGGAGTTGATCACGGGTTGATATCACTTAGAGAACCATTGAAAACCAGGAAGTACTGGACAGCTGCTGTTTCATCCTAGTTTTTAACAATCATCGGCAGTACGCACCCACACTACGGGGTTCGAACCCAGGACCTTCCGGTTGCAAGGCAAGCTCGTATACCATTCAGACACTGGGACCGGATTCAATGGCCAGCCCATGAATTCTAACTTCTACCAATTCGTGATTTAGCGCGACCCCAACCATTGTCGTTGGTGGGAAATCCGTCCACACACGTGACATCTAATTGGACCTCACTGGTCATGACTTCTCGCTAGAACTCCAGGTCCTGGGTTCAAATCCCAGTGGGTGCGTACTGCCGATGATCCCCGAAAAACTAGGATGAAACAGCAGCTGTCCAGCACTCCTTGGTTTTCAATGGTTCTCTAACTGATATCAATCCATGATCAATTCGTAAAAACATAACTAACCCTTACAAACCAAACTATAGGAAACATACTTTTATCAAATTTAAGGTATACGATTTCAACTTTAACCGCAGTAATACTTAATTCTAACATTATAGTAATACTTTTTATGAAAACAAAATGCAACTGTGACAATATCTGTTACTTTTCATTCTTGAAATTTAATTTACACCGCATAAACTTGACTTAAAAAGTAGAAATTCAAGTAAATATTACACGAATAGTTAAACATAAATAGCAATTAAAATGATAACAGACATTTGTGTATATCGTTTTCACAAAATTTCATGTGTAATTTTGTCGGAAAATAAAAATAAAACGAAAAAGGAGAACATTTAAAAAATAATGTGGAATCTACACTTTCTTACATTCGAATGAATTCACCTATGGTCAAGAAATGTTAACTAAACAGTGAATAACTAAAAAGAAAAAAGAGTGGGGAACCAACGTTTCAAAATGTCTCCAAGTTGTGTTATATAATTGTGTGTATATGAAAATGTGAAAACCACTTTAGAAAGCACACACACACCCACATACACACAAACATATAGGATCAAAAAGAAATGCTGAGTAGCTTCACCGATGTATGTATGTTCAGAGAGAAAAATGTTTTTACTCTAAGGAATGGACGTGTAACATACAAAAAAAAAACAAAAGGTGGATAAATACAATCAATGTGAAATCTGTAGGTTAAGTGAATTCAAGTTGCCTGAAAAAGGAAGCCTTACCATCCCATAGGTTGGCAGAATTATACACTATGATGATCTAGCTTTTAGGTAGAATTTTGCATAACAGCTGAAGTCAGAGGTTGAAAAGATGTCTGAGAATCATTTTCTGTATTTAGCGTTGAAAAATGTTTTTTCCTTTTTGTCGGTGAATTTGAAAAGCTGTTATTATTTCTTGTACTATTATTAAGATGACCAGAATGTATTTGATCAGGATGATAAGAACATTTATCATTTGAGTTGTCCGAATACAAGGATACTTCTGGTTGCTGTTGTTGTTGTTCATGTTCATGACAAAAAGTTTGATGAGGACTAGTTTGTTGTTGTTGGTGGTGGTGGTGATGGTGATGTTGATTGTCCTCGAACTCTTTCTGTCTATGCGGACAATTTACAGTCATACATTTGGTTGAGTGACTTAGCTTCTTGATTTCATTTGACTCTGTGAAGTGTGTATTATTCTTACAACAAAGCAAGTAGAAAAATTCAACTAATTCAACAATGAATGCCATTGTTAATCCAATGCACAAAGAGCATAAACCGCCTATCCTTGATATTAATATATAGATATCAAAAACCAAACGTTCTTCATTCATGGTTGTATCAAAATCCTGTCTGATTAAAGAGATGTATGTATGTTTACCATCATCGAATTTTTGATAAATATCAGAAAACATTGTTCCTGTTGAGCTAGATTGTTCACCGCTTTGTGTCGGATCCACTGATTCATCAAAGACTTTCAATAATTCATCAAAATGTCCTCTTTCACTAGGGTCAGTCAAAAACTTGTCAACATGACGATAGACTTTAGTATATAGCGCAAGTTTGTGCGGATCTGGATCCCATGAAGTGACACTTAATTTTGTATTGTAAGTATAATAGCCGCAAAGTGGTAAACACACACCTTTTTGGATAGCTGTCTCTTTAATTTGTTTTAATTCAACAAGAACAGTACTCAAACATTCAAGACGTGCTTTCATTTCTTCAGCTCCACGTTTGTCATTGACATCAGCTGGCAGCTTTTGACAGTATGGCAAAAAATGATTACTATCCATTAGTTTGATAGACCGAGGCCATTCTGAATTAAGACAACCACATCTCTTAAACAGTTCATTCTGCAATACAAGATTGAGACACTGAGTTTGTGTATATGTGTATTGTACACCCAAGTCTTCTATGTAAAGATTTCCACCTGCACACGGAGCTACTGGTGTATGCAAACGTTTCCAAAATAATGTTGCATAGTTAACCTCATTCATACGACCTGGTTGTATATTTACACCGTGTTTTTCAATTTCTGGATAGGTGTCTCTTTCATGAATAACTACCTTAATCCCTTCACCTCGTGTAAATGAATCCGTAATGAAAGATGTATTAGCATCTTCAATCTTTTTCAAAGGAACTAAGCGTGCCAGTATAATTAGTCGTGTAATATCAGCAGTTGATGCATTTGGTTTACCCTCTATAGTCCAACAATTGAAATATTTAGGATGCGTAAAACGTCGTATTCTTATCGATGTTTCCGGTTCCAATTCACACTTTTCTGCTACAACTGTCGTACCTTCTTCATACAGCATACAATGATAAAGCATGTCCTTATCATGACCAACTTTAATAGTGTCATCTGAATTAAGATTTGCATAATAAAATTCTATTGTATCAGAAAAAGCCAAATCACCAGTATTGTTAGCCAAACCGTAGTATTGCATAGTTTTCAATAAATCTCTTACACGCAATTTAATCTCCTTTGGACTTGGAACAATCTTCTCTTTCCAAAGACGATTTACATCTAAAGTGAATGGATTATGTGCACATAATGTGACAGCAGGAAACTCTGATTTATCATCTAACAAGGTACGTGCATTCCATGCTGTTGAATAACGTAAATAATCAGAGATAAGGAAACCAGAGCTAACCATTAGAACACATGTCATACTAATAACAAATAAAAGCCACAAAAGGCGAATAAATGGAATTTTTGAACGATAGATTCTCTGTACACCACGAATTGAAGATAAATCACAAAATAATTCCAATTTACTTTTGTTATGAGTTGTATTTCTTACAAATGAAGACTCATCAATGTCTAATAAATCCTTGTCTGCTTCTAATGAACACAATAGCGAAGAAGGAGTGTGATCTTCTTTATCTCGTTGTTGCTGTAGCTGTCGATGTTGACTGCATAGGTGACAATCGGATGGTTTATCACAAGTTAAAAAATGATTTTGTTCTCCTGTATATTCCTTCATTGGTGACATGCTACTTTCATCTGGTAAGAAAAGAGAAGAGAAGTAAAAAAAAAGCAAAGAAAAATGTCAGTACTGAATCAAGTAGGTGAAAATGAGGAAGACGACTATTACTGAGACAAAATGATATGTGTATGAGATCCTTCTCTTTGTTATTCGCTTACCTTAATAACCTAAGTCTATGAACGACCCTACTCCTATCCCGTCTACTAGACTGACAGACAGTTGTCGTAGCCAAATGAACCATACTCTTAACTTGGTCATGCCAAATGAAACTACTCTCACAATATTATTATTGTTCCCTTGGGTTCCTAGTCGAACATACGGCTTCAACTGCACGTCTCCACTTGCTTCCGTCTTTTGCTGTACTTCTCACGTGCATCCATGTTAGTCCTTACTGTTTCAACTCCTCTCTCTTCACATGATCTCCTCCACGTCTCCCTTAGAAGTCACACTCGCCTCTTCTCGTTCGGGTTGCACTGGAGCAATGGCCTGACGCGCGCGCGATGTCAACCAGCGGCCTCCTAAGCCGCGAGTGTCCAATCCATCTCAATCCACTTTCTCCTGCATATTTGTTGGCTGGCGGTTGCTTCTTGTTTTGTTTGTTCTCACCCATAGTTTCTTCTTGTTGGTGATTCTTTCCGGTCCGGCCATCTCATCTTCAGTAAACAGCGGAGATAGTTGTTGATAAATTTCTTCAACAGGCTGTTGGAAATAATCTTTGTGACCCGCTGGTCAAGTTTCTGATTCGTAGAGAAGTGACTAAAAACGAATTCCACCGAATCATGCATTTTAAATACTCTCTGTGTAATCGAATATTTGACACCTCCTAAGCTGTCCTCATACTTGCACATATATCCTGCATAGTATTGCAGGATGCAACATATGCATTCATATATGTTTCAGATGAAGGTCATCCGAATCAAGAAAATATGAACGTATTTTGATTTGGTTTATATTCTCTGGAGATACTTTTTCGGGCTAATTTTCACAGTCTTAAAGGAGCTGGACAAATTTCGACATTTTTCAAAAAATGCGAATTCCTCACTGCTCTGTGTAAGAGAAATCTATTATTTGTCTAGTTAGTTGTCAGCTTCCAGATTCTCATCTTTACATTGGATTTTAATCCACAGACTATCTATTAATATAATTTCCCAGAAAATCTTGGGCTGTCGCCAATTAACACACAACAAATACCACCATATGAGGACAAATTAGCTGTTTCGTGCTTCCAGATTTTCACTGGTTTACTAAGTGATATTAATTCTTGAATAAAAATCTTAAGTTTTGATTTCATTTTTCAAATCAAATTTCTATTGGCTTACAGAATCTTATATCTTACATGGTAACTTTTTCCAAGCTCATGTGAAGATGAATTATGCGTGAATTCATAACACATTGCTAAGAACATGGGACTATTTTGGCTGAATATTTTGCGAAAAGTTTGCTTTACCTTGAACATAAGTATGCATATCTAATATGGTGAAATGAGGTGATATAGTAAAAGCGAAGGCAAGAATATTTTTGAATAATAAGACTCTGAGAAGAAAACTATTTTCAAGCTTATGAATAAATTGTTAAATATTGAACAAAATATTAAATCTGTTTATCTCATAGGATCGTAAATGTACACTACTGAGGAGTCACATGTCAAGACAAAACAGTTCATTAGTAGCCCATGGTTCTTATTGTCTCCTCTTATTTGTCGGTTGGTGTTAGAATCTACCTTAAGACTTCTTTAACAAGTCAATATCTTGCCGATAAATAGTCAAAATAACGTATTGTCCCAACTACAGGAGGAACGGACGAGGATGTCAAATCGAGCGACAATCGGGAAGGCAGGCGAGAAACACATTAATCAACCAACTGAAACCAATCTGGAAATCTTCGTCACTCAGCCAGCATCAACAACAAAATTCCGTCGGATTTTCAATACAAACGTCAAGTCAGTCCGTTCTTCTATACGGATCAGAAACTTGGCGGGTGGGTGGGTCACAAAGAATATTTCCAACAGCCTGTTGCAGACTAGACCTTTATCAACCAACAACTGTCTTCGCTGGCTCTATGCTGAATATCAGATGGCCGGGCCAGAAAGAATCACCAACAGGGCACTATGGCTGGGAACAAACAAAACAAGAACAAACCAATCGCCAACCAACAAATATGCAGGAGAAAGTGGAGATAAATTGGACACTCGCTGATGAGGAGGTCGCTGGGTGACATCGCGCGCGCATCAGGCGGTTGTTCGAGTGGAGCCCGGAAGGAAAGCGGTGAGTGGGACGTCAGCGCAAGGGTGATATGGAGGAAATCGTGTGAAGAGGAGTTGAAACAGTATGGACTAACATGCATCGATGCAGGTGAAAAGCACAGCAAAAGACGGAAGCAAGTGGAGACGTGCAGCTGAAGCCGTATGTTCCACTAGGAACCCAAGGGAATAATAATAATACACTGCATATATACTTGATTCTGTAGTCTTAGTCTGCAAGATTTGTAAAGTCATTTTTTAAAATACGAATCGCGGATTCAGATGATAGCTACTATCATCCGAACAACATAATGTAAACCTTCGGATATCGTGAACGCATCATGTCAACACAGACCACTAGTTTCGGTATGCTAAACTTTATGAACGGGAAGTAGATTAATGGCCTAAACAAATAATAACTAGTACTTGTTGTACAAGAGGTGGTTGTCGTGACCCAGTAGCCTAGTGGTTTGCACTTTGACGTTTAGAACGATAGATTCTAAAACTGAGTCTCCATGAAAACACTGTCACTCACTGAGGATACAGTTATATCCAGCTAACGAGTCTCAAATGGGACGAATCGGGTATCCTTGATTCTATTGCTAGATACCAGTATCCAGATAAACTGGAAATAGATTATTCCTCAAATTAAGGAAAATGTAAAACTGTATTGCTAGATAATTTGTAGCTTATCTATTATCAGACTGGTGAAATAGAAAAGATCAGTCATTTTATCCCGTCTGCCAAATTAATTTGCACGTGCCAACATTAGTGATACCAGTAAGTCTTCTAAATTAGTTGATTTAACCAAGTCAACTAAATAGCCTTGAACACATTACTTATTCAGTATAATTCTATCGAACAGAACAGGTTAATTGGTGAGGAATTTGAGTGCTTTGAGTGCCATGTTCGCAAAATTCATAATAAATAGAGAAAGCTTTTCAAGCCAGGTGACAATACTAAATGACCTGCTTTGCCATTTCAGTATATTCTAAGATAATATTTCAGTAGCGAATTCGAACAAAAGTTCCTTCAAATGTCGAGTGATTGCAGTCAAATGATACCATCACTCATTGAAATACATGCAGATGCACATCCATTTAGCATGACCTTGCTTCCACTGTTAACCAGCATGAATGGAATAGCAGACAAATGAGTTTGTAAAAGAAATTGACATCATCAAATTATTCTCATTTTTGAGGAATGATGTGATTGAATTGAGAGGTTTTGAGCTTAGTGAAAAATACAATCTCACGTGGTGGAAGAAACTGTGTATATTGTTAAACAAATGATCAAGAAACAAATACTTTATGATAAGAGAATTCTCCGAAATTCACGAAGGTCAGTGGTAAGGCTGTTCACCTCATTGTCTTGTAATGAAGTAATAACAGAATTACAAACTAAAATTGTTAAGTCCCACTAGCAGGTTTTTTCTTCGTTGTTTGGACTGTGCTGTGGATTTTAAGTAGTATGAAGAAGTGAATTATGCGTTTATTTTGAAACATTGCTTCTACAGTTTGATAAGAGTTGTCATAAGTGTATTTAAAACACAAGATATAGATAGATTTTTCGAACACATCACCTCGAAGGTAGATGCAATTCAATTCACTTACGAATTGGAAAGTTAGGAAGGGGAACTTCCAATGTCAGATTGCAAAGTAAAAAGGAAAGAAGATGGGAAGTTAAACGTTAGTGTTTACAGCGAACCCACACATTCAAACAGATATTTGGACTTCCGATCATCCCCATCCTATGTCAGTAAAAACAGGATTGGTGAAATGTTTTAAGTGACAGAGCACAAAAACTAAGTAGCACCAAGGAAAATCTAAGACAGGAAGGGATACACATAAAAGAAACCTTGAAACTTAATAATTACCCGGATAAATTAGTCAGGAACTATGTCAGGAAATGTAAAAATAAAATAAATAATGACAGTAGTGATAGTGACAGCGATCATAATAATAATGCTGATAATAATAGTAGTGATAATAATAATATTAATGACGACATGCATGCCAAATATGCGCAAGACAACACCAACAATAAGGAATCTAAATCATAAGTAGTAATTTCATACAAGGAAGAAACCTCGGAAACCTTACGCACGATTCTTAACAATGCTGGCAGGAATAAAAGTAACTGGCATTCAAACCCACAAACTCAATTAGAAACAAGGTTTGTCGGTTAAAGCATCAATCCTGTGGAGCCTTTAAAACAAAACAATTTAGTTTATCTAATACCCTACCTGCAATGATTGTCAGGTCAAAAACATAGGCCAAAGTAGTAGAACAGGGGCAGTCAGACTAGCCGAACATAAAAACCTAGCTAAATCTAGATTGGTTGACCCGGATAAGATAAGAAATCTAGAGAATAGTTCAGCTATACCACTCACTACATGCAGTTGCACACAACCATACAATAGGATGGGATAGGATGACAGTTTTAAAATCTGTCACAGGGTACAGGGAGAGATTGACAACAGAAGTTTGTTTATCGAATCAACTGCAAATACATGTAATAGGAACGATTCATCACCTATCTCAGATATATGGAAAATTCTACTACCCCAACGATGACAAATAGGAGAAGACAAAGGAAACTATAAAACGCAAGTTTCGAAGTCGTGTGATTATAATTGGTGAGATGATTATAAACAATAAATTTTGTTCGAAAGGCGTCGTCATCCAGTAAATAATACTGTTTCCCTCACTGTGATATATCTAATAAACAAACTAATATGGAGTTTTTATAAGTGATTAAGAAATAAGGACAAAAATA